CTAGTTATGACTAGTGACATTACCTTAAGTTGGCAACCTAATAGGGCTTTTAGTATTGTTGTTGATTTTGCTCTAATTTTAACAATCTAGTTCTACTTAGTCCTCTCTACTAGACTACTACATTCTCACTTATTTTTTTTACTCATGCAAAAGAGATGTATTGGTTGACCCAAGAAGAGAATTGCTTAGTGGTTTCTACTCATGTTGGATTTTATATGAATGTAAACTTCCTAGTAATTTCAATGAGTCATGTAAAACCAAATGTTAAATAACTTTCTTGTGTTCCTCGCAATTTCCCATCTTGAATAACAATTTCTTTGAAAAACAAATACTCTGTTACAAATTTTCTTGTGGAAAATTTAACTTTCAAGAATCTCTATATATTCACTTGCCATCTCTTCCTGCAAAAGGCACACAAAGAAAGAGCAATGGAGTCTGCTAAATCAAACATAGAAGGTTACCAAAATGTTATCGTGATGCGCCATGGCGATCGAAAGGACGATTTCGACCCACTTTGGGTTTCAACTGCTGAGAGACAGTGGGATCCGCCGTTGGCTCACGATGGTATGGTTAGAGCCTTTGGAACCGGTCAAAGAATCCGATCTCAGATTGGTTTCCCGATTCACCGTGTCTTTATTTCCCCTTTTCTCCGCTGTATCCAGACCGCTGCTGAAATCGTTGCTGCTCTCTCCGCTGTCGAATTCGATCCCAACGCTAAGTCGTCTAAAGACGTCCCTTTGAGCGATAACTCTAAGCTTAAGGTCAGACACAATATTACTCTCTCTATATATATTTACGTTGAAATCGGACCGAAGTTTGTAGTTTAGTGGTTTGTGTTGATGTTAGTGTCGTTCATATTTTGGATGGTTGACCAAAAATAGGCATATGTGAGTAGTAGACGGAAAAATATTATATTTACCTACAAATTATGCTTATGTGAAAAGAAATATACACGTACTCACGTATAATTTTAATATTTTTGAAAGATTTACTGATTAATTAATATCTAGGCTGAAACAAATCATTTTGATTGAAGCATTTGAGATGCTTGTGGCTTGTCTCTCTCGTTTGCTTTCAGGTTTCTATTGAATTTGGCTTGTGCGAGATATTGAGCACAATATTTATTAAGCATGAGATTGCTCCCAAAGATGGGAAATTCGATTTCAAGATTTCAGATCTTGAAGCTATGTTTCCTGAAGGAATGGTGGATCATGATGTGGATATGGTTTATAAAGAGGTTCTCTCTAGAATCTTTTTTCGAGTTTCTTTCTTAGTCTTTTTCTTCATTTCTTTGATTATAATCTTTGATATATTCATTGATTCCATGTTGGTTTTGTTTAGGTGCCACAATGGGGAGAATCTGTGCAAGACTCCACGGATCGATATGCTAATACATTGAAGGTGCTTGCAGACAAATATCCTTCTGAGAATTTGATTTTTATCACCCATTGTAAGCAAAAAAACATTATGGCCTTTTATCTTTAAATGAAATTGTAATCGCCAACAACTTTTTCTTTAATCTTGAGACCGTTTATTTGTTGATGTTTTGAAATTGCAGGGGGAGGAGTAAGTGCAACACTTTACAAGTACTTCAAAGACGCAACAAAGTACGTAGTAGGTTACTGTGGTTGTGTTGAATTGACAAGGCAGGTTTTGAATAATGATAAAGCTGTGGAATTTGAGGTGGTTACAAGTCATGGAGTATCTTACAAGTACAGCAAAATCCCAATCCATGATCATGTTATAACCAAATCTCCGGTTTAGCTGGTTTTGTCCATTACGTCATTTGGACTCATTCGCTTCTTCTAATTAAATAAAAGACCATGTCGTTGTTTCGTTTCCCCCATTAGCCATTATTCATCACCACCTTCAAATTTCTCGTTTGTTTTATTTTATTTTATTCCATCCAACAATTTATTAGTATCATGTTTTCAATTATACACTTGTGGTTTGATTGTTGGTTTCCCTGATAATAATGTTT